ATCATTTCAGTTAATAATAATAATAATAATAGATAGCATTTGTATAGCGCATATCCCCGCTCAGCAGCAGGCTCTACGCGCTTTACACTATATTATTACCCCAGCAGACCATAGAACACTCCGAAACATTCTCAGCTTCCTGGGAAGCATACAGTGCAAGCAGTCGATTAAGCGCTCAAACACTAACAAACTGACAAGATCTTTCGCTGTCTATAGCCGGGTACCCATTCCCACCTGGGTGAAGTGAGGAAAATTCGTGTTAAGTGCCTTTCCCAAGGACACAACGTCGGGCCCTTGACGGGATTCGAACCCACGACCTTACGGTTGCGAGTCCAAGAGCCTAACCACTAGGCCACCGACGCAATTTAATTAAACCATATGAACTAGATCTAGATTAGAAAGAACAAATATATGTGGAAGACTTTGAGACTCTTGTGAATGCAATGTATAGGTACGTGCCTTACAAATAAAAGACATCAAGACATTAAAAGATCAACAAAACAGTTGTTAAGTTACAAAGAAATTAGATATCCACCTACAGAATTTTCATCATAATTTCAAAATTATTTGTAACCCCCCCCCCCCCTCCCAAAAAAAAACAAACAAACAAAAAAACAACGGGGATATGAGAGGCGGAGTAGGGTCGCTTTTCGAGGATCGCCGTAAAAATATCCACTGCGTTTTTTGTACCTAGATATAGATCTAGAATCTAGATCTAGTTCTTGGTCTGCTCTACACAAGTTTAAAACAGTACTACAACAACTAGACTACTCTAGAATCTAGATCTAATCTAGATCTAGATCTAGATTATCTAGATTTCTAGATCTAGATATATAGATCTAGATATAAATCTAGATATATATAGATATCTTAGATCTTGAATCACTACAACAACAAGTTTCCCACTTGTTGGGCAGGGTTGGTGATTTTTTTTGATTTTTTAAATAAAAATTTAAAAAATCGATTTTTAAAATTTAAATCAGATTTTTTTTAATTTAAATCGGATTTTTTATTTTTTTTTTTATTTTTTTTTTAATGTCGACACAGTTTGGGATTTTTGGTGGCTAAAAGTATGTTCTTTTAGTGTAGAATGCATTGTCTTTATTTTAACTCATGATTAATTTAAGCAACTGCAAAAGAAAGCCTCAATCTGCTATTATCAGTGAATTATGGCTACAGACAAAAAATGAAGAAAATGTCAGTCTAAAAGGAAAGGGGGGGAGGGGGTAGATAAACTTGTATTTTATTACAGTGTGTGTGTGTGTATGTGCGCGCTTGTGTTTGTCTAAAAAGAAAAAGAAAATGCTAATTTCAATTATGAAAAAAAAGTAAATTGAATACTGCATTAATTTACTACTTACAGTGACAGGGGGGAAAGCAGACTTTTAAGCCTGATTATATTAGTCTACTAAACCTTATATCTGTTTTATAAAACCAAGGAAAGGAATTCTGAATGTTTGAAGACGAAAAAACAATACATTTTTTAAAAGTGATTTAAATCACTGAGTTTTATTTTTAAAATCAAGTTGATTAAAACTTTAAAAAATCAACTGATTTAAATCCACCTGATTTAAATCAACCCAACCCTGGTTTTCAATTATGAAGAGAAAGAAAATTGAATACTGTATTATCTCACAGTGACTTTTAAGCATGATTATATTAGTCTACTAAACCTTATATCTGTTTAATAAAACCAAGGAAAGGAATTCTGAATGTTTAAATATGTAAAAACAGAATGCATTATTTAAAAAGTGATTTAAATCACAAAATCAAGTTGATTAAAATTTTAAAAATCAACTGATTTACAACCCAGCTCTGATTTCAATTATGGGGGAAAAAGTAAATTGAATATACTGTATTACTTTACAGTGAAAGGGGGGAAAGCAGACTTTTAAGCATGATAATATTAGTGTACTAAACCTTATATCTGTTTTATGAAACCAAGGTAAGGAATTCTGAATGTTGAAATATGTAAAAACTGAATAAAAATTATTTTTTTAAAAAGTGATTTAAATCACTGATTTTTATTTTAAAAATCAAGTTGATTTAAATTTTTTTAATCAACTGATTTAAATCAACCTGATTTAAATCAACCAATGATTTAAATTCGGACTCGAGTCCGAATATGAAAAAATGTTATTCGGACTCTGATTCTTGTCCAGCATGACATCACTTCCGACTTCCTGTGACTCGTGAATCCGGCTTCCTGTCCTGCCTCACCCATGGGGAACAGCTCACCC